AATCCAAAATCCTTCGTAAAATCCTCAATGCTCCTTACTTTGTCACTAATAAAATTATCCATAAAGATCTTAATGTTCCTTATGTTTCAGATCTGGCCCAATCCAGATACCTATCCTTCCATAATAAACTTCAGAATCATCCCAACCCTCTCGTTTCTAACCTTGCTTCCTCTTCAATTCCTGATAACCCTCCGAGGCGTCTGAAAAGAAGATGGCCCCGTGATCTCCTAATGTAGTCATATCATTAGAGTGCTACCATTGGGTAGTTACTCAGCAAGTGTATTCATGTCATTATATCAATTATGTCCAAATTTACTTGATGTATTTATGTAATACAGTTGTAAATGTCATAAAGAAATAAAATAAAAAAAATTTTCAATGTCTTTCGAACAGCTTATGCAGCATACTTCGCTATATATGTAAGTTTTTCCTTTCTACAGTATTGAGTATTTAGTGTATAACATATTAATCGTCTATATTTTAATCTTAGAGAAGTACAAAAAGTTATATAGGACTGCAGATAGGGTAAAAAATGTAACTAAATATAAAATTCCAAATAATATTTCAAACCTGTTAACATTGTACTATTGATAACAACATTATTGACGATGATATTATTCAGAAGATTGTAGATGTAGAAACAATGTATGACAGTTTATATACCTCAGAATGCCACATTAACGGTACTAGAAATCACATATGTAATTTAATTAATGAATATATAACGAAATTTTAAAATAATCCAAAAATTTCTATATTAAATAACCAGATAAATAAAGATTAAAACACCTTTAAAAATTTTCTGAATATGAATAAAGAAATAATAGTGATAAAATCGGACGAAACCAAGAAATTGGTAACTATAAATACATATCAATAATGGAAGACTTATTAGACAATAAAACAGTATACAAAAATATGAGAAATAATCTATGTGTAGAATTAGCAGATTTTAATTTGTTAATAAAAATAATTTTTTTTTCACCTACAAACAAAAAAATATTTCCTGAAATAAATATGTCATTTAATTTTGTCTCTAAATATTATTGTATATTTTATTTAATATGGTATATACTCCAACTGCAATAGAACCCGAAAAAACCTACATTTTACTGAAATAGTCTTATGAAAGAGTATGAAATATTATATTATCAAAATGTTGAAGGGGTTGCGATATCATAAGTGATGTTCCATAACATAAAATATTTAATACAATTATTTTCGTATTATTTAAAGTAGATTTGGCTAAATTTTAGGGCGTAGTATTACACTGGGCAGCTCTCATGTTTCCAGATACAAATAATCCTTGGCACTTGGCGGCCAATTTAAATCCGCGGTCATTGCCCCACTTTAACTCATCTTAAAGGAATGTTTCTCCTAATGTGAAATGGTTTGCAACCATGAGAAAAGACTGAATCCTGTAGTTTCCGGCCAACTATTTCTTCTTTTTCTACGATCTCCTCTCACAAAAATCAAATAAATAGCTCGAGATCAGAGCCGTAATTTGGGTAGAGCGACCCAATTTACTCTTTAAAATTGAAAGATAGTATAAAATTATTATAATAATTGAAATTTCCTAAATTTGCATAATTTAACAGGAAATTTTACAACTGTTAAGAGCTCTTGAAATTCAAAGATTGAGAGCTACTCAAACCTGATCCTAATCTGGAAACGAAAAATTCCAAATATTTGCTCAGCATCTCTTCGAAACCACATCCAAATTTCCTGAATCCAAAACACCTTGAATAGATAGATGCTTGAATGTATTGAAGCAGAATTCGATATTCCAATTCAATATACTCATCCGTATGAACATTTCATTTATAGTTTACCTACCACAAAGTTGCTAGACACGACTTTTTAAAGATAGACCTATTTTCCTAACTCTTGTAAATATTTCGTTATAAAAATGATATTCTATTTTATTTATTTATTATAATGACACTACGGTCATGTAAGAACCCGGATCTCTTCCACTACAGCCAACCAATCTGCACTGTCCTCTGTTTCTTCCCTCCATTTTCTAGCACCAAGTCGCATTAGATAGTCTTCCACATCCTCCAGCCATTTGATCCGAAGGCGTCCTCTACTTCTTTTGCCATCAGACTCACTAAAGAGCATCCTTTTTGGCGTCCTTTGGTCGAGCTTTCTTTCCACTTGTCCTATCCATATTATGCGTGTTTTTTTTAATCAATGCTACAATATAAGGTTTCCCAAACAGTTCACGCAGCTATTTATTCCTTCTTCTCCAAATTCCGTTCTCAGTGACTCCACTCTATATTATTCACAACACTCTTCTCTCCCAGGAGTTGAACATACTTCCTGATTTTTTGGTTAAGGTCCAAGCCCCATACCCATACATAACCACTGGCGGCCTTACTCAGGTTTTGTAAATATGAATTTTGATTCTTCTAAATTTCTAATATCTTTGCTATGAGAAATAGCATATATTTCCTGCTGGCATCCTGTGCTTTATTTCATTTTCTATTTTACAGACCTAAAGTAATCTCTGAATGTTATTTCTCTATTCACTTCCTAATCACTTACAAAACTGATACCAAAACGCGTAAAACTAGTTCTGAAAATCTCGTCTATATTCTAATCACTTAATCCCAGATCACCAGTTTGGATTCCGAACATCACACTCCACTATCCAGCAATGTCATCGTGTGGCAGAAGTTGTCTCCTCTGCATTAGAGCGTGGACTTCACAGGAATCTTTTTTTGGTGTAGAAGGTGCTATTGATAAAATCTGTCCCCAAGGACTGCTTTACAAAATCAGTCTATTCCCTATATACTTTCTCATTATCCGTTCTTAGCTCTCAGATAGATCATTCAAAGCTAATCACAACGGTACCTATTCATTTCTCTTTTTTCAGTCCTGGTTTGCCACAAGATAGTGTCCTTCGTCCCATCTCCAACATATAAAGATGATATACTAACTTATCCTAATACCATCATTACCGAACACAGGCGGATTTACGGGGGGGGAGGCTTTCGGGCTGGAGCCTCAAAACGGTAAAATATAACCATGTTTTATAGAAAAAAATATTAAAAACTATCTCTTAAAGTATTCTTCTTCGTGTAATTACATTTAATATCCGTTATCAAGAATCACTTCAAGAATCACTTAAACAACATTTCATGTAGGTAGTTCATTTCTTTCTTCTTTTTTTCAAATTAATTATCGTTATATATATTTAAAAAAAATCGTTCGGCCTGAAGCCCTCTCCCCCCCCAAAATGAAATCCTGGATCCGCTAGTGTTACCGATTATGCTGATGATACTTGTGTGTTATCAGTTAATAATGATCCACTTATAATTTCCCGAAGTCTTCATTCTTATGTCACAGACCTGGAAGAATGGGGTCGAAATCGGAGATAATATAAACTAAAATCTCATTATATTAAATATTTTTATTTTATTCTTTTACGCCATATGCATCTACGCAGTAGCACATCTAAATAATTTGATTTAACTGATTAATTTTTGAAATTTTTTCTTGACAATGCCTCAATTTACTTATTAGTGAAGCAATTTAGTTATGACTGGGGCAGAATAGTATTATAAAATAAATCAAATGAAATTATAAACAGGATTTTAAATATATAATTTAAAAAGTATAAATAAAAATAAAATTAGATTAAAATTTTTATCCGGAATTTCAAACAATCATTTAATGATTCTTTAAAGAGCTATATTTATTTTAAATTAAAAGTGATAAAAATCATATCCTGATCATTATTTTTGAACAATTTTTTTACAATTAACAAAAATAATATTTCTTGAATAAAATTTTTTTTTAAATCAAAAATATAAATTTTTTATAATTTCTATGATATATTTCGAGTCTGGAGTAGTGCATATTGTTGGTGGTATATATAACACTGGAGGTGGAAAAAAAAAAAAAAAAAAAAAAAAATATATATATATATATATATATATATATATATATATATATATATATATATATATATATATATATATGCGAGCAAAATTAAAGCGATTTAATATAATATTAAAAACTATTTACATTAATAGCGTAAACATACATATTAATATTTACTACAATTTGTGTATTAAAGGTATTTTTTGTTTTCCAATCAATTTTTTTTACCACAATTTAATCATTATTACTTAAAAAAACCGTATCTGAGGATGATCATTATTTTTAATCGAATCAGTAAACATTGAAAATCTATTTAAATTTTTATTTGGTTTATATATCATTTTATATATATATATATATATATATTGTGTTTGATAACTACTGGCACAAAGGTTTATTGTGGGAAATAAAATCACGCATTCCTTCAACTTACTTTCTGATGCTTCAATATTTCTTTCTTGACAAGTTCTTCGGTATTTCTATAGATTCCTCTACTTCTCCCTTCTTTCCTCAACTTGCGGGCGTACCACAAGGTACTGTTTTAAGCCTTCTTTTCTTTTCTCTCTACACATCTGATATCCCTGAGCACTCTAACACCATTCTTTTTAGTTTCGCTGACGACGGCAATACTTTCTTCTCACAAAAATCCAATTATTGCTTCGATAGCCCTTCAAAATCACCTCCACGACCTAGAAAAATTGAAAATCGAAATAAATAACAGCAAGCCAACTCATGTTAGGTTCTCTTTGAGGAGGATTTCGTGCTGTGACAATAAACCAGTTAACTCAAAAACTTATGTACGGTATCTCGGACAATATTTCGATAAAAAAACTCACCTGGAACATACACATAAAATTAAAAAAACAAAACAAGAACTGACCATACGATATTCACAACTGCCACATATTTTGGACTACGGATCTGCACTTAACGTACAAACCAAGCAACTAATCTACGCCACCATACTTAGACCTATTTGGACATACGGAGCAGAACTTTGGGATTTCGCAAAACTCACACGCATAAACAAAATTCAAACCACACAATCCAAAATACTTCGTAAAATAGTCATCGCTCCTTAGTTTATTTCAAATCACACCATACATAAAGAGATGAACATACCAGAAGTAAAATCCTACATACACATCAAGTACACATTTCACACTTCTACTCTCAATCATCCAAACCTGCTCGTTCTACCTCTTTCTTCCTCTCTGTTACCTGGTGAGCCTCAACGACGACTGAAAAGGCTGGAGATGTGCTGACAAGTTAAACAAGGATCAAGAATGAAAGAAGACTGAATAAACGGCAACATTTGATGCGTTACAACGGAGTGGCAAATTTAATGTACAATAAAAATTGTATTTATAGCATGATTTTTAAATTAAAAATAAAATATGATAATTATTACATGATTCTGTTGACAAAATAATTGTCGATTTCAAACCATGATAATAAATATTTAAAAAGCACAGTTAAGAAGAGCAATAAAGGAAGGGAGAGTAGATAAGTCGGAAAGATGTAGAGGTGGTGAGACAGGCAACTTCCTTTATTAGTCAAATTGTTATTGAATGGGCGGGGGCGTATGCTCGGTGGTGGGGAGCCAATGACCGATCGAAGCAATCCTATTGGTCGAGACGCGCCCCTCCCCCACCACCCGTCCCCAGGGCCGCCTCCTCCAGGCACAGACCAGTCAGTGACCGTCTGCTGTTAGGTTCATGCTTCTTGTTTAGACACCACAAGAGCCAGGAGATCCTCCACCATAGAGCACGAAAGCCAGCACAAGATGACAGTCACCAACTACGACATGATGCGACCCTGCTTCAGTGGATACCCTTTTCAAGGTGAGACAGCCAAATAGTAGACCGCCCCGAGTGAGACCAAATGTGTGACCTCTGTTAAGTGTTACCTAGTTGTTGTTGTTGTTTGTTGTTTTCACTGAGGGAAAAGACTCGGAAATGACACTCACGGCAGCCATGCACAATTTGTTACTTGACAAAACAATGGGTAAGTTCGTTTATTATATAGTAATTTAGTATATTCTAAAAAAAAAAAAAAGAAAGAAAAAAAAACGCTGTACAAATCTGTGCATACCCAATTTCATTTATTTGCTATTCTTTAAATTGTTACTATGATGAGCTACTCAGGAAGAAACAATGAAAAACAATGACAATACCCCGTAATGAGCATGAGTAGAAGATAACACTAAAATTGAGTAGTCAGACTCACTGAAGATTGCATGGAATGGCCTTTGGATGCTTAAAAAAAAACAGCCTTCTAACTACATTCATTTAAATTACATTATTTTAACAAAGTGATTAAAAATATCAACAAATGAAATGTTATAAATTAAATTTGCTATTTAATTGACACACTTCACCGCAATACATTATACCGCATACATTATACATTATACCGCAACACATTATAAAAGAAATCATATGATTTTTTTTTTTTTGTCTATCGCCTTATGTATATGTAGATAATTATTATAACAATACAATATTATTATTGTATTAAAATTAAACATTGATTGGTATTAAAAGCATTGATATTAAAATTTAACAATGATTCTATTAGAATGCTTTTTTTTAAAATTAATTTACGATTTCTTCGAAACATTTCTCTATCTATTTTATTTTAAATAAACCAATAAAAAACTATTCAAATAATATTTTTTAGAATAGTATACATTTATTTTACATTTGATATTTAATAAATAAAACAGTCAAATTCATGTGGATCTGACATATTTCATACTTCAAATTAAATACTGCACTAAATATATTGCTTGTAACTTCTGCTTCATGATTTTATGCACTTGTAGTTAGTTCTGGTAAAAGCATTTCTTTGATAATTTATTCTTATAGAAATCTGGGAATTATTTTTTAAAATTGTTTCAAAATCTTTTTATTATTGTTATTTTTTTACTTATTGATAAATATATATATTAAAAATATTAACCTGGGATTCAGAAAATAAAAATGAAAAAACGTTGTTTATTTTAATGTAATCCAAATAAATATATGTCAATTGTCATTTTTTTTCGTTTATATATTGCGATTAAATGTTAAATTTTTAGATAAATGGCGTGAAAAAAAACTTGCCGTTTACTTGTTGCTTCGTGAAAAAAAATGTTTTAAATAATTTTTATTAATATATTAACAAAATTTAAAAGTATTATAAATATATTAATTATTTATAGTATTAATTTCTGTCAACTGAAATTAAACGCTTATATTTGAACGTCATCGCGTATGTTATTCCAAAAATATTTCGACTAGAAAAATTTTAACAAGGGCTATTGTCTTCTCGCGGAATATATGCTTAATTTTTTTAAAATTTATTTAAGGAGTTAAGGCAACAAACACATATCCGTTAATTCCTTAATTAACATTAAGGTTTTTAAATAATTTATTACTAATCTAAATAAATAATCAATCTCAAATTATATTAATTATTCTTTATTGAAATGGAAACAGAAGTTATTTTAATTAAATAATAACAAAACTATACAACGATTTCTCCTGTATGTAAAGACTCATTGTCTATTGTGTAATTCAAGATAGTTGTGAAAATTATTTTAAAATAGTATTATTTAAATGATAAAATTTGTCTTTAAAATAAACAAAGCCATATCACCAATCAACAAATAATATTGATACCATTAATTCCCACTTTTCACTAAGTCCTATATGCTCTAAGACAATAAAGAATATTAAGGTTAGGAAACCTAAAATCCGGTAATATAACAATTTTTATGTACAATTAAATGAACTATGGAAAAAAAATGTTTAGTTAACTTTTTTTTCAATATATAAATAATAAATAAAAATACTAAAAACATGAATATTTTTTTCTTCAATTTTTAGGTCTTTTAACAATATTCCAATGATGGCAAAAAAAGTTATTTTATATATTTTCCTTCATATGAAGTAATGAGTTAGTGTTTTTTATTTTATTTGTTTGGATATAACTACATTTTTATTAAATCAAAATCATTAGTAATACTTAACTAATACCTTAACTTAACTAATACTTAATTAAAGAGTTGTAGCTAAAATTATAAATATATAATTTATTAAAATTTTGTTGGAATGAAAACTTGTACCAAAAATATTTTCAGAATGACAAATAATCGGAATATGCAGTCATTGCATGTCCTTTATTGCATTTTTCGACGTTTCGGCCCCAGCATGTGGGTCATCTTCAAGGTAGTGGTTTATGGCTGGACAAGAACTGGAAAAAATCATCAATGGTTGCTTATTCTGATCATTTGACTTCCTTATAATTTCAACGATCAATTATATCTGTATATCAAAAATATTTTCTGAATCTTTTTTTTTTTATTGTTTTTTCATCTTACTGATAGATTCATGGAGTAATTATAACAGCATAATTTGAGAGTGGAATTTCGTGGCTTAGGAAAGCTAAGTTTAAATTATATTCCTCAATATAATTTACATGAAATATAATTTAAAATATTGTTATGCTCAAATGATTCCCAGATTTATGTATATGTATATATAAATCTGTATAACTTGCATGCCAGCATATATTGGTTAAAGCTTGGTAAGACAAGTTTCTGAGAGGCGGGGTGTATTCCCGCGCAGACGTGTGCTCTACAGGCCAGGGCCGGGTCAACCAACTCGGAGGAGTCTTCATCAACGGGAGGCCTCTTCCCAACCACATCAGGCTCAAGATCGTCGAGATGGCAGCCGCTGGAGTACGCCCTTGCGTCATCTCCAGGCAGCTCAGGGTGAGCCACGGCTGCGTCTCCAAGATACTCAACAGGTACCAGGAGACGGGCAGCATCAGGCCGGGGGTCATTGGGGGTAGCAAGCCGAGAGTGGCGACGCCAGACGTCGAAAGGAGGATAGAGGAGTACAAGGGAGAGAATCCCGGAATCTTCTCCTGGGAGATCAGGGACAGGTAAATATTGCCATACATACATTTACTATGATATAAATTGACTCACTTAGATCATGTTAGTGTAGTAAAATAGCTGAAAGTTGGAGGTGGGCGGGGTGGCCGAATGAGCTAACGCGTGTGCACAACACCACCGTTGCCCGGCAACCTGATATATGATATATGAGTTATAAAAATAGTCACGAGTTCTCGTCTCTGTGCCAAGGCGTCTTTTAAATCTCCGCTCACACCCCCTGGCCAGGGAAAACCCCGTATAGCCTTAACGGGGAGGAACGGGAGGATCCAAAAAAAAAAGAAGCTAAAAGTTGGCAGAAGCGTGCATTTTACTTCTTCTTTTTTTAATTGTACTCTACAAACTGCATTTGTTTCGATTGCGAAAGCCCATCTCCCCTCACAAGATAATTATTGCACTCCTCTTATTAAAAACGGTCTAAACGAAAGAAACATTTTTAGTAAGGGTTCCAAAACTTCAGAACCGTAGATTTTTTTAATGGCGCAACTGCGCCATGAATCCCCTTCAGCGCTATTCTGATCGCATGTTCTCGCTTTTTTTTCCAAAGGAAGTAAATATATGTAATCTCCGAAGGATGAGATATAAGAAAATATCAAAAAACGTAAGTGTTAAGGCAAACTAGACATGTTTGACTACTTGTCAACTAAAGTATCAAGTGGTATTTTAAAACTCAGCATTGGTTGCTTTGCACCAATTTTTGAACTTTTTGTGCTGTTCTGCATTTTTTGCCATCTTAGTGGAGTCACAAAGATCTGAAATTTATACTTAAGCTTCCTTAGAATAGAAATAGAAATAGAAAAATCATCTTTATTCTGGGACTAGGTCCCTTTAGAATTACAGTATTGTTCATATATATTAACCATAAATCTGGCCAAAAGACTTATTACAATGAATAATAACAAAATACTAGCAATAAATTAAGTATTAATTAAGCTCTTAGGATAAATTAACGAGAACAGTTGGGTAATAGGGGTTCAGTACAACAATATTGGAGCTAAAATAATAGTAACATAATAATCACTGAATGAAATTATAAAAGGAACCCAAAATCAATTTTATAGGCAAAGCATTGTAGTGATGGAATATAAAAATTTAAAAAATAATAATAACTGTTAATATGTAAGGAAAGAAATTGTAAAAAAAAAAAAAAAAAAAAAAAAAAATGATATACACATGTTCCCTAAGATATTTAAGTGATTATGCGTAAGGATTAGGAGAAGAAAAAATAAAATAAAGTAAACATACATAAACACACAGCGAGAAGATAATTAGAAAATAAAATACATTTCACCGAAATATAATTTCATGAATAAAAAAATTAGAAATCAAGAAAAACAAATTGTATCTACTCACTATGCTTAGTGAGTGGTGATGAAAATTCACGATCAGCACAGAATAAAACAATAAAAAAAAATAATGTCTAAAGAAAATTAAAGCCTTATTACAGATTTAACCAGCGTCTGATGGGATTGTGAAGAGGAATTGGAATAAACATTGTGACTCGGAGAAAAGAAACTTATCAGAGGAAAAAAAATCTTTCATCCTATGGGGCTATTTGAGTGTTCATTTTTTATAAAAATCAAAAAAATGTATGGGTTGGCTGGGGGAATTCACATCACTTACCAAACATCATTAAAAGCCCTGAAATAAAAACTGATTCAATTAATAGACATGGGTGATAAATATTCAGGACGCAGTCTTTTTTAAAATTTTTATTTTTGCCAACGTGTCAACCCAAACAAGTGGGTCAACTTCAGGGCTTGAGTTTGAGCACTGAGGGTGTTGTTTTCAAGTACAGACACATTTGGTAGGTAAGTGAAATGGTCAGGGTGGGAGATTTTCCTTACCTACCAAATGTGTCAGTACTTAAAAACCCTCAGTGCCCAAACTGGGTCCTGAAAATTTATGACCCATGATATGTAGAACAGTCGCCTAACTTCCTTCAAGAATTAATAGACGTCTATATCAAAGAAAAATTTTTTTTTTTTAAATTTATTAAACACTTTATTCAGAAATATTACAATTTGTCACAGTTTAAGGACACTTATAATAGAGTTCAGAGAATGCATTCATACCGTATATACAAAAACATAAATAAATAAAGTAATAACAAAAGAATAAGAAAAAAGAACAAAAGAGTAAAGAAAAAAATATATATATATACACCTAAGTAAATAAAAATAGAAATAAAAGTAAAACAAACATCTTATATAAAACATATCTATATACATTTATACAATTTGCCAGGTGATCTCCGAACCAATCCTGTCCCCTCCACATGTGGAGGGAAAAGGGAGGATCAAAGAAAATAACCACTAAAAAAAATATAATATTTTAAAAATGCTATTTTAATAATATTCAATGAGAAAGATCCGTTTCTTTCATTTAACTTTAAAAAAAACATTTTTCGTATCAAAGAATATAAAAAATATATTTAATAAAAATACATTTCAAAGAATAATAAAAATACATTTTCTGTAAAAATAAATATTTGTTAATTAAATAAAATTAAGATTTGAAGATATAGGCAGCTATTTACCTCCTGCACACGTTTTTTTTATTCTAAACGCGAATTCAACTACCACTAAATTTTTTTAATCTTTTCTGATCAATTTATATATATATATATATATATATATATATATATATATATATATATATTTTATCTTCAAATCTTAATTTTATTTATTTAACAAATATTTATTTTTACAGAAAATGCATTTTTAAATATTTTATATATATACATAGGTTGAATATTGATTCCTAAATAGCTATATTGTTTCGGAGGTCTTTACTTTAACCACAGTAAAAACATCGTTAAAGTTAATAATGCTTTTAACTATCGTTCCTTCATATATTAAAATCGTAAATAACATGTTTTACGATTAAAAACACGCCATTGAAGCTATTTAAATCTTTCATATTTAGCACACTCGTTGATCGGCCTTGGAGCAAAAAATAATCTATAATACGAAAAAATACATGTAGATCATACGTGCTTATATATATTAGTTTTGTAAATGAGAATATTGGAAATTAGAATGTATAGAAAAGCTTGAGTATTACAATTCTTTCAGTAATACAATGTTTGTGCAATGTTAAATATAAGAAATCATCTTTGGATAATGACTATATTAATTTTTTTTTTTGTTTAAACGACCGCTTTAAATGAACGTAGTTTTAACTTTTATCTCTTAGATATATACATATATTATATTCATTCGGTCCATTATATATAATTCAAAGTAATGAAAGTGAGCACGAAAATTAATGTGTTTTTTTTAATAGAAAACTACTTGATATTTTACTTAATTTCTGTTCATAATTATTCTTACATATCTTAATTCAAACATTTTCTTTAAATTAAAATAATTTTGAACCTGTGTTTGATATTCTAAAAGCCACAAGAATATTTAAATATTTATCATCCGTTGTTAAGAGCATTCTTTCCCATTTTAAGTGCCAATTATCGTCCTATCTGTGCCACGTTATCTTCCTGTGTAACAAAACACAATAGGACACGTTTTTATATCATAAACATGCTTAACTTTCTAATTCTATTCTCATATCAATATCAATAATAAAATATTACTCTTTGTAATATTTTTTTTTTAAATTATGGATAACATAAACGCATAGATTTTCATTTAATTTAGTTTATTGACATGAGTAGCATATATAAAATACAATAGTTTTATATATGCTACTCATGTCAATAAACTAAATTAAATGAAAATCTACGCGTTTATGTTATCCATAATTTTAAAAAAAAATATTAAAAAGAGTAATATAATATTATCATATTTAATAAGAAAAATATAAATTTAAAGTAATCTTAAAAACAACATAATGATTTTTCAGAGTTTTTTTTTTTAACTTCTACTTATATAGGATTTTAACACAAGACGGACAATAAAATATCAGGTATCAATAATAAAATAATTTTAATAATCCTATAATTTTAAAAACAAGTCGCTTTCTAGGATTAGTTTTTAAATCATTTTATAGAAGTTCTAAACTCAGTTTAAAAGATCTATCTTAACCGTAAATAATAAAGGACAACAAAAGCAGCAATTACAGATATTGATAATATCAATTCAAATAAATGAAATAACATTAGTTAATTTATTAGGTTATAAATTAAATTATTATTATATTTACTTATAAATTATCATTGAACTATATGGAATTACAACATCATATCTATGTAGTTAAATATAATTCGTAATTTGAGTTATAACTGAGAACAAATAAGAATCTGTAATTTCCAACGTATAAAAAAGTCGGAATCGAAGATAATATTGACTATTGAAGATACTTAATTTTTTTTTTAATTAATTCATAATTATTAATGACAAAACATAAAATTTAAATTTGAATTTGGTAATTGGTAGTTATTAAAAGCATTATGAGTTATTCAGTTTCATCGACGCAAAAATTTCTACTATCAATTTAAAGACAATTTTTTCTTAATACTATTATTAACATTTAGGAAATTATTTTTTTCAATAATATTATTTTATTCTATTTATTTATTTTTAATTTCATTAGATATTCTTTGGATCTCAAATCAAATCATTTTGTTTTTTTTAAATTAATTATTAAATCGTTTTGAAAATAAGTTGATATACTGGCGCAATTTGTTTAATTACTTTTTTTTTTTTTTTTTTTGCTGTTTACCCATTTTCATTTCTCCAATCCTTAACTTTTATTTATTTTTTCAAAAATCAAAGATAAATTTTAAAAATATAACATATCAGGATGCTAGGTCACTACCCTCATTTTTTAAGGCATAATAAGAACAAAGTTTAGGTTGACTGCCACCTAATAAATTATATTTATTGCCAGTCCTCATAGGCCTCAACCTTTCAAACGAGTGAATAGCCTACAAAAGTGGAGAAAAAATAAGAGGTTGTAACTGGTAGGAGGTTGTAGCTCACTCGTTAAATTCTCTAGGAAGACGAACGACTTATATATATGTGTGTGTGTGTGTG